CCCGCCCCCTGCTCCCAGCAGCCCTCAGTCAGAGCAGGGAGCAGCCAGGTAAACTGCAGAGAGCCCCCCCTGGCCCCAGTCCAAAACAGTCCAGTCAAGACCAAGTTTTATTCGGGTAGCAATCCAAAACAGTCTAGTGGAGCCTGAGCGGTGGGTGTTGCCTTCTGACACACGTCCGGTGATGTCAGGGGGTGTGGCCTATGCAAATATGTTATGCTAATGAGTTATGCTAATCTCCCCACTGTGCTCCCTCCCTTCTCCAGTTTGGAGTAGCGGTTAGGAGCACGGACTCTAATCTGGGAGAACCGGGTTTGATTCCGCACTCTTCCGCATGCAGCTGCTGGCGTGACCTTGGGCCAGTCACAAGTTCTCTCAGAGCTGTTCTCTCAAGCGCAGTTCTCAAAAGAGCTCTCTCAGCCTCACCTACCTCACAGGGTGTCTGTTGTGGGGAGGGGAAGGAGATTGTAAGCCGCTTTGAGACTCCTTGAGAGTCTGAGCTGTTCTCTCAAGCGCAGTTCTCAAAAGAGCTCTCTCAGCCTCACCTACCTCACAGGGTGTCTGTTGTGGGGAGGGGAAGGAGATTGTAAGCCGCTTTGAGACTCCTTGAGAGTCAGTTTGGTGTCGTGGTTAAGTGCGCGGACTCTAATCTGGGAGAACCAAGTTTGATTCCCCACGCCTCCACGTGCAGCTGCTGGATGACCTTGGGCAAGCCATAGTTCTGATAAGAGCTCTCTCAGCCCCACCTACCTCACAAGGGTGCCTGTTGTGGGGAGGGGGATGGGAAAGGAGTTTGTAAGCCGCTCTGAGACTCCTTTGGGCAGTGAAGGGCGAGGTATAAATCCAATCCTTCTTCCTCCACTTGCACCTGCTGGATGACCTTGGGCAAGCCATAGTTCTGACAAGAGCTGTTCTTGAAAAAGAGCAGTTTCTGTCAAGAGCTCTCTCAGCCCCACCTACCTCGCAGGGTGTCTGTTGTGGGGAGGGGAAGGGAAAGGGGATTGTAAGCTGCTTTGAGACTTCTTTGGGTAGCGAAGGGCCATGGGATATAAATCCAATCTGGTCTACTTCTTCATCTTCTAACGTTTTAAGAACATTTTTTAAAAACCCCTTTGTGTTTGTGTCCTCGATAAAGTTTCTATCTCCTCTGCCCGGCATTACATTTTATGACATGCATGGCCCAGCCGAACAAGGTCTCATTTATGTCAGATCCGGCCCTCGTCACCAATGAGTTCGACACCCCTGAAATAAATAAATAAGCCCTGCTGGGGAGCATACGGTCTGGGGGGGGGAGAGGGTCTTCAGCTGGGTAGAATGCCACAGAGGCTGCCCTTCAGAGAGGCCGGGGGACCTTAGAACATGAAACAGAGTTCCTCTCTGCCGTCTGGAGATCAGTCATTGTCCCCGGAGGGATCCAATCCATTTTGCAAAGGTCACTGGATGTAGTGATGGCCACTTCCCCCCCAGCCTCCACCACCCCTGCCCCGGAGCCTGCCTCCTGTCTCCGCAGGGCCTCTCCCAGGCGGCTAATGAGCACCCGCTCTCTGGCTGGCCCCTTGTTGCCCTTTGCGCTCCCGGCAGGCCGCCGGTCTCGTGTCCGTCTAGAGGTCAGTGTGGGAACGGCTCCCCGTGGTCAGCCGGGGCAGCTCAGGCGCTGCCCGCTGTGCCCTGCCAGAGGGGTCGAGGCCTCCTGGCCCAGGCAGATGCACCCCGCTGCGGGCAGCTGCCAGCCGGTCAGATGGTGCCGGCACTGGACTGAGGCTTGGCCCCTGGGAGGGAATTCCTGCAGGAGGTGGAGGGGGTGGGCCCCGGCAGGTGGCGGCTTTGGCAGCCAAGTCCAAGTCCTGCCCGGGCCGGCCACACCCCGCTTGCCTGCCTCTGTAGGAGAGGAGCTGAGGGTTGCATCCATCGCCCCCAGCCCCGGAGAAAAGAGTGGCCTTGGAAGGTGAGCTGCACGAATAATAATAAATCTGGGAGAAGCGGGTTTGATTCCCCCACTCCTCCTCCATGTGCAGCTGGAGAATCAAACACAGGCCTCCCAGATTAGTCCCCACTCTCAACCAGTTTGGTGAGAGCCAGTTTGGTCTCGTGGTTAAGTGCGCGGACTCTAATCTAGGAGGACCGGGTTTGATTCCCCACTCTTTCACATGCAGCTGCTGGAGGACCTTGGGCAAGCTGCAGTTCTGTCAGAGCTCTTCTCTCTGCAAGGGAGCCAACCCAACAGTCTGTCACACAGTGGACAAAAATACCAGGTGCCATCAGGAAGTCCACCAGTGGGACCAGGACACTAGAAGCCCCGCCCACTGTTGCCCCCCCCAAGCACCAAGAATATAGAGCATCCCTTGCCCCACACATAAGAACAGAAGAGATGCCAATATTGG